AAAACCACCACACAAAGGAAGAGAATAGTATCAAATTTGGGGATGATCCTAGAAAAGTCAATAAAACTTGTATTAGAGGAACTAGATTAAAATGCAAGCTAGAAATAAAGTATATAGATGACATAATATGACAGAACATGAATGATGCTTATGTAAAGGAAAATCTTGTATCTGTAGAGCAGGAATCCTTTAAATTCTTCAACAGAAAAACAGATAAACAGAATTCATAGCCACAATTTGCTTGGATTTTAAAAGCTATTGATACCTACTGAAGTACAGATGAAGTAAAGAATTAGTAGCGATGAGTTAGTGTGACTAGATTTAAACAATTAAAAGCTAAATTTAAATTAGTGTGTAATTTAAGTCAGTAGTCTGTAGGCCAAGTAACCTGTAGCTGGCATAAGCAACAGCTAACATTATTAATTTATGGTTGAACCTTCCTCCTCCTTTCCTAATGAAGAAGAGTAGCTGTTGCCATTGTGTTATCTAAGACTCCCTAAGCAAAACAGGAGATAAGCCAAAAAAAGCTTCCTTGGAAAGATAAAGAAAGGAATGCAACAGCTGAGGGAGGAAAAGTGTCTGCTGAGGTAAGCAGAGGCATTACCAAATTTAAACAAAGAACTGTAAAAAAATTGTAAAAGGTGACCAGAACAGAGAACTTGTGAATGCTTTGAACTTGTGAATGCTTTGAACTTAAAGGAGTTGGATCTGCGTGATCTCTGCTGTAGACCATCTCCAGATTCTCAAGACTCACAGGACATCTGGCCAACAGACTGGTGAGATTTTATTAACAGAGGCTACATTTCACTGCTTGGCTCTGCATAGTTGTGTATGTTCCGGTAAAGCTTGTCTGTTAGGGTTAGACTTTTTTATCTCAGCTGTTGACTGCCCACTACCCACATTTATCACTTTAGCAACAGATCTGGCATTTCTGGGTGGGCTTGAAGCTTAAGTGAACTGAGAGAGATAACCTTCTAGGACTAGAAGTTTGAAGGATCACAATTTCCTTCTCTGAATGCAAGGAAGGTGCAAGTGCTAAGATAACTTTGTTTTAAATAGTAGCAGTTATCTCCACATGTAGCACTATACAAGAGATTGGAAATAACTGGAAGTTAGCAATTCATGCTTCAAATGTATATCCCTCCCATCTGGTCACCTATGGCATGTCAGGAGGCACGCTTGTGGCATACCTGGTGATGCATCTGTTGTCAGGAAAGGCTGATAAGGGTCATGCATCAAACCCTAGGCTAAGCAAGTGGTCACTGCCTCAGCTGAACAAAGGGGTCACAGTAAGAGGTGAGGATCTGCCTCTGTCTCTGTCTTCGATTGTGTAATAGATGAAGAAAAAGCAATGGAAGACCATGAGGGCTTCCTACCTGAACCAAGACCTCAGAAACCACTCTTTTTGGATAGCACTGTTAAAGTGACAGAGCTAAAAAAATAGAGGGCATGTTGGTTGATTTGTAGGTGGGTCAGATTGCTGTGATGGGGGAACACCTCACACGGGGTATGTGATGTGTAAGTACTAGCAAAATGATCCAGTGACAGTTGCTGTCACTTTATGCTCAGGCTGACAGACAGCAGCATTAAAAGGCACACTGGTGGATCAGCTAGTACCAGGATCCTGTTTCAGATTGTGTAGTGAGGAAACAGCTCTTGATCTGGAGGAAAAGGGCATGCAGACAGTAGAGAGTACACCTCCTTTAGCTTCAGCATGAAAGGCCATAGAGTCTTTAATAGATGGCCTGATCCATCATCTCAAGTAGGAAGGACGTAACGCTTAGACAAGATAGTATTTCAAGCACCAGATCTAACCCTCTCTTTTTTAGTGGAAGAAGGGGAAAATTTGAGATGGAAAGTGGTAGGATGTCGCAAGTCTATAGACTTGTATAAAAGCTAGACAGTGCCTGAACATGCACAAATTGAGTTGATAGCACGAGCTCATCCTCAGGGAAATTTATGAATAAACAAAACCTTGGCAAGATTACAGAGTCATGATGGTCTAAGATAAGAGAAGATGTAGAGATGGTTGATAGGAGGAGTATAACTTATATGACCAGCAGCCCACATACAAAAGTAATAAACTCACTAGAGGATTTCTAGACCATGGAGCAGGTTGTGAAATGGACCCTTCTTATCCCAAACTTATGATAGTTTCACCAATTGACAGAAGTATTTCCAACTTGCAGCAAGAGAGCCAGCTGCTCGGGCGCCAATAAGACAGATGTTTCTCTGACAGAAACTGGCTATGACTTGGGCCTGTATGAAACAGGAAAATTATAAATTATTGCATCTGGCATTAGAGCTTGCACAAAGGCATCGCATTGCTGGATGTCCCCAGAGAGGGCTGCTGAATGCTGAAGATGGCTCTGAGAGAAGTTGTAAAGCAGCAAGGGAAAGCCTGAGAAATGAATCTCCAAATAATCCTAATGCTGAAATGAGGAACTGCTGCATCTCCTGGAATAGAAGAGACTTGAGGATGCTCCATTTGTGATTAGGAGCATGGCTGCCAAATAAATTACAACCATATGGTCCAACAGACAGATGGATTCAAGGCATGTTAAAGACAGTGTCAGCTACACACCACCAGGTAGCCAGACATACATTAGAAGCAAATGTTCAAAAGATGGATAAAGTAGCATGCTTGTTGCACCTGGTAGAATGAAATATTGGAGACTGAGTAACAGAGAGCTAAAGGAAAAAAACATGTGCTGAGATTTCAGAGGATGAGACCTCTTAGAAATACCAAGCAGGCCAGCTCCACCAGCTAAAAGTGAGAAAGGGGAAGAAAGACTAGAAAAAAATGTTAATTTTTTGAAGTATATATACAGTGAAAAAATATTAATGAAGCTGAGGATTTGGCTTTTATTTTGCAGAAAGATGAAAATGGAGCCTGACTGGGACTGAGAAAGTGATAAACCTCACAGCATCTCTGGCCTTGTTTGAGTATAAGTATTTTAAATTTTGTGGTTTCAGGGTTTCCTTTGGTTGCTGGTAGATACCTAGCACTGAGTATAGGATGCACCTGACTAGACTTACGCACCTGTGAGAAGTTTAGAGGGAAGGGTAATAGTTTCCAGTTGGAGAGACACTCTGGCAAAGGAGTCTGAGCCCAGCACATATTTAAAATATAAAATATATATATATATATAAAGACATAATGAAAACAAAAAAAGACATGATGAAATTTAAATCCAAAAAAACCTTAAACATGTTCAATGTTCAACACTCAGTTTACATGACGCATCTTTTTTGTCTACCCTAGACACAGGATAGTTGACTTGGCTTCACAACTGCTTCATATATGAAGTCTGGCTGCTACTACTTGCTGGCCATGGCATTGAGAGGAACAGGAACTGGGAAACTCAGACAAGTGAGCAGCATGAATGCTGGAGCCCTTGCCAATTAGTTGGAGGCTGCAGTGTTGTACAAGATCTCTAAGTCCTCCTAACTGAACAATAGCCAAACTATAGTACTGGAACAGTGGTTGGCAGGAGATGTGTTGCCTGTCTGAAAAAAACACTAATAGAAAGATCAAGTGCTACTGAAAGTATTAGAAAGTTAAAAAAAAAAAAAAAAAGCTTTCTTGTTCTTGGTTACATACAGCACTTGCAGCAGATGCACTGAGACTGTCTTCCCCACTGAGATCAGAAGGGTTGGGTTGGATTCAGCTATGGATAAACAGTGGCAAGTACAGACTTGATGGAACCTATTCACTTTTATCTGGGATCAAGTCCTCAGTTAAGTGATTGCCTGGTGTGTCATTTTAAGATCACTCTGCAGAAGTATAAGAAAACAGCATTAGCTTATGTATGAAAAGGATGTGTGTGTTTCAGAACAATGTGTGAATATGATTTAATTAATGACATTTCCAATCAAACTGTGTTTACTGACTCCAGTGTAGCTGTTATTGGATGCTGTCTTTTTTTGTGTAAACCACCTGTGCTTTCTAGTTGATTACTCATTAAATACTGTACCTGATATCAAAATATAACCCCAAATGCAACTGATATTAAATTGTCTCATGTAAAAGAAATATTAGAACAAGCAAATTTTCAATAACTATTACAAATGCTATGGAAGCAGGCAGAATGGCCTTGATAATTGTACATCACAGTGACAGATACTGCAATCAACTGGAAAAAGGAAGAATATCACTGGTGGGGTTTTCTTTGAGTGGTCACCCACAGCTGCTGGAATCTTAAATGCATCATTGTAGGATCTCATTGTGGGCCAACTAACAGTGCTGATAGTGCTAATAATGATAATAATGTGTCTGGTGATGTAAAAATGGCTCATTACTAGTCGAGGCAAGCAGAGCACTGAAGTGACAGCCTGTTGCATGGACCAAGACTAGATAGGTGACTCTTGTCTTAGTCAAAGACAAGGCCTCTATCTTGGCCAAAAGAAGTGTTGGCTCCATTACTGGCCAACACCCAGTAAGCCTTAAATGGAACAGACACGTCCCATGCCAGGCCTTGATACTGGTAATGGTCTCATTTATTACAAGAGGGCCTTCAAGGAAGGTGGGACAAACAGGTGGTGGCTGACACGGGTTATAGTGAGCACAATAACTTTTTCTTGATCATTTTTCTCTTGCAAAGTCAAGCACAGGTGCTGGCACATGCTGTTATGTGACACAGGGAACAGAACAGTAAATCTCGGGAAAAAAGGTCCTTAGAAAGATAATGTAACAGCTGAAAGAGGAAAAGCAACTGCTGAAGTGAGCTTCAAAGAAAGAACCGTGAAGAAAGTTAAAAGGTGTCCAGAAGAAAGGAGCAATGAACACTTTGAGCTTAAAGGAGCTGAATCCACATGGGTGCCTACAGGTGATCATTGCCAGGCCCCCGAGACTCCCAGAATGTTTGAGTAAGAGATTGGTGAAATCTACTACAAAACAGTGTTTGGCTTTGTATAGTTGTGGATGTATTTTGTGAAATTAATCTGTCTCTTGTAAAATTAATCTCTCTCTATCTCAAGTGTGAAGTGCCCACTATGCAGATTTACCTCTTTAACAACAAGGGCTGATTCTGCTCTCAAAACCACTTGAGTCTGTGGAAAAATGAAAAATCAAAACAGAGTAAGTCATATCAGAACCTGTGCCTCATCAGGTCTACTAACTTTTGTGAAACAAAGAGGATATTGAAAGTGGCATGAGTTTTCAACACAGAATGTGTTCATTTCACTTGATGTACTATGAATGGACAGTTTATACCAATAAAGTAATTGTTAACTTATTGGATGCACAAATTAATTATTGCACTCTCTTGTATTTAGTTGTTTTCTGTTTGATATCAGTTTTACAGTCTCTGATTACTCCTGGGGTTCTGTCCCTTCTTGAATACATTTGATAGTATATCTGTATATTATCTATATATTTCTATGTATTTTTCTTTAACTCATTAACTTCCTGGTTTGCCTTTTAGACCAATTTCTTCGTGGGATTGTTTCAGTATGGGTTTTCTGCAAGTTTCATCTTTGAAAGGTAATTGATGGCTTAGATAGTGAAAGTTCAGTTTTATTGCTTAAAAAAGGCCTTGTTATATAAGAACAAAAAATTACTGATATGCTAACCTTTTTTTTCCCCCCACTTTGGTTATTAAACAAGTCTTCTGGGAGTTATATAAGTTCAGAGATTCTTGAACTTCTGCCAGAACTGTGGTACACTTCCAGTGGGTATATATAACTCTTTAATGCCTAGAATGCAGCTGGATATGTTGGGTTTACACATACCCAGAGTCTAATACATGTTGTCTGCTCCGATTCGTTCTTTTGCCATAACTCTTATTAGATTGTTATACAATAAAGATCCAGGTGCCAACAATCTTAGCAATGATGCCCCAGCTAAATCTGCTTTAGATGAAAGTGCACCTGCTAGAAGTATTTCCCAGGACATGCAATCATTTAGTCTACAAATTCAAATAATGCTTATTCTCTTGGTTAAATTACACCTAGAAGTCTAGTCAGATACATAAAGAAAACTTGGTAGATGTGCCAAAAAATGAATAAATTGGAGTCTCTGATCACTGATACAGATTTTTACAAGCCTGGAGCTTCATGAATTCCAGTGGAGTTACTTCAGATTTATACCATTTAAGCATGAAAAGGCTTGTAATCGCTTGTAAGAATTTTCTATTATTCTCTGGAAAAATATTTACAAAGGTGTGTTCTCCTGCAATTTTATTGAATTGTGTGCAGTAATAATTGGTACACGGCTTCTGTGCCGGGTCTGAACCCTAGTTTTCAGATTTTGGGCTGGATAACTTTCTAACCATGGACTGTTTCAAAGCTCACCGAGTGAAAGGCTGTCTGCACTGCAGGGAAAATTTATTGCCTTTAATGGATGCAGAATTTCCCCACTGACTTCACTGAGTAACAATGCAGGGTACCAAGTCACCAAAGGTAGTCTACCTTTTGTTAGAGCTTTTGCTGAATAGTTAAAACTTAGTCCTGGAATATAGCATTCAAAGCCTAAATGCTTCTTTCTGTAAACTGGTGTAAATCAAATGTTATTCCTCAGAAATCCCCCTCTTGAAGAGCCTGTTTACTTCCACTGAATATAATAGGAGTTAAACTGAATATAGGTGGTGAAAGCCCACACTGTGTTAAAATCAGCTGGAGGAGTAGGTGCTTTAGAGAATCAAGGAGTATAGAGCACTTTGTTTGCAGATCTGTTCAAATCCAGATTCTGGATGACTGAAAGTTATTGTCACATAGCCATGAAACATTAGATCATCTTATGTCATTTCCTGCACAGGCTAACCAGAGTTGTCTAATTAGGACTCCTGCTGGGATGCCCAGGAAAAAGGAAGGACTGGATGGCAGACAGACTGGTTTATCTTCTCAAGCCTTATTGCCAACATGATGTCTGTGATTAAAAGCATATTTATGGACTACTGTGGGGAACCTTTCTCTGCCTTTGCCCACACTGTAGAGGAAGGCTGTGCCCCTCTCGCAGGGCAGTTCTTTTCTATCTGAATTTGATGGTTTTGCTTTTCAGCTGGAAGCCAGTTTTATGCTGTGTGCGCAGTAGGTGATAATAGGTCTTCTTGAATGGTCTTAACTTATTTAATGACATAATTAGGAATTTCAAATTCAGAGTTTATCCCAGTTCAAACTTCAGATAATTTTAACATTTCATTTTTCAAACCATTACAGAGTCTTCAAAAGTCTCTGCTTGCTTTTGTGAACACAGGTTTTGAATAAAAGAGGATATAAGTATAATAGTATTTTTTTTTTGCATGATGATAGAGAACTAATTAAAACAAATTAATAAATGGCTTAACTCACATAATTTTAAGAAAGTGTGGTGTGGCTTAATGTGATAGCCATCAGTGGCTGTGCTCTAGAGACCTGCAGCCTCTTCTGCTTAGGAATTGGATCAGTCTAGCTTCTAATTAATTTTACCTAGGGTTCTTTGCTTCCAATGTCTGCTTGAGTAAAACACATCTGTTGATTTTCATCTTCAGGCAAATGCAATGAAAAGGTATTAGTCCAATGGCTCTTACTGCATGGCTCAGGCAGGCCAGACCACAGTTCGTTATCTCTGGTATGTGGAACTCAGTTGAATGGTGAAAACTATGGACACCCTCATGGTCTGTGAAAGTCTTTGAGGGGTGAATGTGTTCTGTAGTTCCCAATATTGGTGAGTGATTTCAGCTTTCCTCTGTGATCCACCTGATGGACTACCTGTACTGCCAGAGGAGAGCTTGGCATGGGTTCCTTCACCAGAGTCTGGGTACCTTGCTTTGCCCCAGCAGCACAGAATGTGGCCCTCACCTGAGATGGTGTTTGTTTTAGAGGCATAGTCTCACCATACCCGATTTCAGGCCAACCTCCCTCCTCTCCCAGAGAGATGATTATGCGGGGTCCGTGAATGAGGAGGCTCTGCTATGCTGGGGTTGCCCTTGGCTAGCAGATGTTTCCTCAAGTCTTAGGACAGCAAATATAAAATCTGAGTAGCCCTAAGTGTCTTTTAACAGAATTGGAACTGAGAGTGGGGTAGAAGCAGGTCCAGAGTCAAAGGGTCAAAACTGATTTCTGTGAAGCAGCTTTTCTTTAGCTATACCAAACAGATCCTGGGCACAGCTGAGACTATAAAAAGCTATAAACATGTTAATGCTGGTAATATTGCCTGTTCTTTTGGCGCTTAGCTTCCCTCTTGGAGGAAAGCCAGCTCATCTTTTGATTTTTTGTGTTATAGAATCTCCTGAGATGCTACATACTCAGGTCAGACTTTGTGATTTGTGTTAAAGTGGTGTAACTGAGAGTAAGTCTATTCATTTATTTTGATGTAGGAAGTAAGAATCTGGACCCTTACTGCTATTGCTGAATCAGGAAGCAGAGATTAATAAATTGTGCCACTCTGTAGATTTTTTCTGCAGACAAGAACCCAGGAAAAATTTAAAGAAACTTGCATGACATTAAGGATGAGTGAATTTAATGTAATTTTAAACGTGAACTCTTTCAGGTAACAGCATGGAAGAAAACAGACATTACAGGGGTTTTTATTGTAATTCTGAAGCTGGGGAATTGAAAACATTTTTGAGTAAGTTTTGCTATGAAAAAGATCAGGTATCAATTGCAGATTAGGGTGATTTTGAAAAACAAACTTAGCAACTGCACAAAGGTTATATCTACAAGAGATATAAAAAAAGGATCATCTATAGGAGAGCAGAAGTGAAGCATTACAAAGGTGAGAGAGAAAATGAATAAGCCAGAAATATAAAACCCTGCAGTTTGGCTGGAAAGTAAGTGTTGAGTGGTCTAGGCATCTGCACAGTGCAGATGGGACTGATGTATTGTTAGCTATTGTACATATTGAGAAATATTTAAGTTTAAAAAGGTTGCTGCTATATAATTTTTTCTGTGAGTACTGCTTTCAAAATTCACAGCTGGGTTGACAGAAGTAGGTTTACTCAGAGAGATAGATGTATAATGATGATAGGCTGAAAATTGTCTTGGTAAGGAAAAAACTGGGAGGAGACAGCTTACTGAGTGGCATAGTGTTGCAGAAGAGTCTAATAATTGGAAAGGTGTCAGTGACCAAGAGTTAAAAGAATGAAGCTAAACACAGTACAACTTTTTGGCAAAACCTGTAGTGCTACCAATCCAGACCTAGACCTGGGAGATTTCAACATTGTAGATCAGAACAAGAGCTAGTTAACAGATCCCTCCTTCCGTTAATAGGAGCAATGTACAATTCACCCATTTCATGTCACCTGGGACCGAACACAAAACAGGTGACTGCAGTGATTTCTGTTATTAGCTGTTACAGTTGGTACAGGGTTTAGATGGTGGCTCTGGTGCACATGATGAGTCCTGATAAGGGTCGTGTGTAAAAGAGAGGTGATGAGGCCAAGCAGCTGGGTACTATTATACAAACAACCATTTTCCCTCATAAAATAAAGCTGATGTGACTGCTCACATAATCTGAGTCTCGTTATATGATTTGACTTAGAGAGCAAACAATGGAAGCAGAAATTAAACAGGAAGAGAAAAAATTAAAGGGGAAGGGGCATGAACAATTCAAGATGTGAGTCTAGCATTTTTACTGCAAAATGAAGCAAATGAAATGTTGATCTGGCTTTTTGAAGGGCTTCAGAGACTTCTAAAAGTTACAGAAGAGCAGGGTTTTGATTAAGATAATGGGGTTTGTTGTGGTGTGATTGTTGGGAATCATAGCTGACTTTGCTTAAGTGCAGAATAGGTAGAGAGGCTGTATATGAGAGCTTAAAGAGATCAGTATTCAAGCAGTGACATAGGAGGGGTATTTGGCTATCAAAATTTTTTAGGATTGTCCAACTTTTCCAAATGCTAACTGTGACTAAAAGGAAAACAAGGAAGAAAAATATTTTACAGCCAGTTTTATGCAGATGACAGACTCTTGTTAGTAAAATCACTGAAACTAAAAGCATCTACTTGGAATGGGAAATATGTTTGGAATGACAGAGTTGTGTTTTATTAAGACATCAGCTAGAAGGTGGAGTTATCATGGATGAGGGTTTGGAAGAGGAAAGACAAAACAAAGGGAAGGAAAGGTGACTATTCTACATCAGTATGGTTGAATGGAATTACAATAGGGTGCTATTTAAATAAAATAAAAAATGAACCACAGGTCACATTCTAATCTTGACTTATTTCAGAATTCTGTTACTAAAACCAGAATTTGGTCTCTCTTTGAGCTACCTTTTTTCGTTACAGTCCATAGGCAAGCAAACAAAAGAATTTTAAGTTAGTGACTCGGTTGTCCAAAGTAGAATGCAACTGCAATAACTAACTTAAATGCAGCCAAAAAGGGAACTTTGTTGTGCAGGAACATCATTTATATTCATTTATTTTCTACAAACAACTAAAGTATATGGCGAGGTGTTGTTATCAAAAACCATGAAGGGAATTAGGAGGTTATGGATCTGTTTCTGTACACAAATCTGTCTCTTTGGATATCACCATGCTTTAGGATAGTCTAGACACCACAGAAATCTTTTGCCTCCCAAAACATTATGTGACCCAGTAGGAAACATGGAGACAGAAAAGACAAATGCTTGTACACCCTAGGTCTCTCCATCATTCTTTGGCAGTTGCAGGGGGAGCATTCTTGCTGTTTGGACAGTGCTTCCTGATCCTCCTTGTCTAGGAGAGATACAGCAGGTTGGATGGAAAACACCTATGGACTGGACTGGAACCACAGGCTGCTAGTTGGGCTTTGGGGACTGGGTTATTGAGAAGGGCAAGTGATGTGAAGTGAAAAATATAGATAAATTCAGGAGACTGCTTGGTGGGACAGAGGAAAGTTAAATTTCATGGTGAAGGTGTAATGATGATGAACAAATATGGAGTGTGAGATACTGTGAAGATACCTGGTGTTCTTGTGATTAGAAAGGCAACATCTCCTGAAGCACTCTCATTTAGTTTACTAGGTGTGGTGTGTGCAGCTTGAGAAATACACCAGAAGAGTTACTTTCCTACTTCATAATCTTATTGTTCACTAACCTGTTGTCATCACTGCGGTTTCCAGCCCAGACCTCTCATTAATCCCAGTTGGAGAACTTTGTAGTTCTCACATCAGGAGAGGAAGCCAGGTTTTTAGTTCCCAGACATCTTCTCTTATTTTTAAGTATATTTATTAGTTTGTGGGGAAAAACAAAAATATTTTTCTGCTTCTTTGTCCTTGAATGAACATGTTACTTCTGGTGGAGTGCAGATACCATCAGTGATAATGCTTGAATCTCAATGGGCAAACAACAATTGTGTTACTCAAATTTCTTTTGTAAACAAAGAGAAAAATATATGTTTGCAAAGCAGACAAGTACAGAAATTATAAAAAATCTTCAGTGATGAGACAAGGTAATATACAGAACTAGGCACGTTCTGCTCCCAGCTGCTCTGAAAGTCCTGGATGATGAAACTCACTTCAGGTTACTCTAGGTTTTCACTAGTCCAAGGAAGATGAAAATCTAGTGCATTTTTAAAATCACTTGCCTGCCTTATGATATCAAAAGTTGAAGACAAAAATGTTTCTTTTTCAAGTCTCAGAAAATCCTGATAGTGCAATCCTGATTCTGCATACCAAGCTGAAGCTTAGAGCATGACAGGTGCAGAATTATGCATCTAATAATATTTGGAACTTAGATTTAGGTTTTGCTGTTGATTAAACTAGATACTATTAAAAGTTTTTATCAATATATGCATAATAATGTTTCTTTAAATTATTTTGCACTGCTGAGCTGAGATGTACCTAGCATTTCAAAGAAACAGTATTATTGTAAGACTGTTTAAATAAAACTGGAGTGTAAACAGAAAATAAAATAAAACATGTTTTTCTTGAAAGATATGCATTTTTTAAGCTCAGATCTGTAATTTCCCTAGAAAGATGTTTCCAAAGCCAATGGTAAATTGAGGATATTCCATGTTATAAGAGGTCAGTTCTTTCGTCTGCATGACTTTTCCTCCAAAAACTTGTAAAAGTTTCACAATAAACTCAATCAAGAGTCTTCTCTATTGAAATATAATGCTTTCTGTCACATCTTTTGCCCAGAGACGGAGAAGTTGGCTAACCATACCTGGAGGCAGGGCAGCAGAAGACATGTACAGTGACTGTAAGTGGAAGTGAATGACGGGTGACTGCCCTGGCACGGGACGGGAAGGAGGGCTCAGCTCAGGCTGGGGCATGCTCACAGGGCTGTCTTCTTGTTCCCTGAAGATGTCCTTTGTGACCCCTCTCCTTCCCTCTCCCTTTTCCCGAGGCGAGAGGCCCTGGCAGGCAGGAGCAGGGGCAGGGGAAGACGGCAGAACCGGAGGCACGGTCTGAAACAGGGCTGTCTGTCCTCTCCCAGCGGCGACTGGGGACAGAGCAAAAGCCTTGTCTTGCATCTGCTCTTGAAGGGGGGCTGCTTTTGGGTACACCCTTGTGCAGACTGAGGTGGGAAGAAATGCCCTCACATGCAGATGAAGATGGCAGAGAGCACTTCTGCTATGGTCCCCGGATCCTCTGGCAGTCTGCACAAACAATGGTAATTTGTCTGCTCTCCACACATTTATTTATTGAGAGGAGGGCTGAGCACTTGCAGGACAGCAAAGTAGAGAAATTAATAGGATGTTCAGAGAATTAATAATGTCATGTGGAACTATTCCTTATTTAGTTACCAGATGAAAAGTGGCTCAATCAATTAAACAGCCATCAAACTGTCCAGTGGCTGGCCAGCCTCGGTGAAAGTAGTTTGTGTGAAATCCAGTTTTGAGTGTACAGACATCATTCTTCTTAAGATAATTTATCCAGTTAGTGCACACTGGGATTCCTGTTGTCCCTTTCAAGAATCAGACTAACCATGAAATAGCACCCAAGACACTTCTACCCAGGAACCATCTCATTAGTTCAGTTTTTGGACTTGAGGCCTTTCTAAAAATTCTGGGAGATGCCTATATTTTAATGCTGTACATTTATTCCAGAAAGGGGAGATGAGGATTTGCAGGCGCACATTGTGTGTGTGTGTTAGTGAGAGAGAGATGGCCGGTTTGTCGCATGGGTGTCCATGCAATCCAACAAACCTGTCAAGTTGGTGGAATCAAATGATATCTCGCATGTACAGTGAAAATGAGCTTTTCTTCTGGCAAATGAGCTTTTTGGTTTTGTACCTAGTTATTTAAATGGGATTTTTTTGGAAGTCAAACCAACAGGCTGCATGAGTGCAGGCTGAACAGGGGATGTGAGGTGCAGGCGGCAGCTGCAGCTGTACTGCTGTCGCTGCTCAGCCTTTCACCTTGCACGTGCTTACTGTATTGTAACGGTAATTGTAAAATAATAATTTCCTCCCTCTCTCTTTCTTCCCCTGTAAAATGCCGAGTGACAAAGCAGTGTCTGAAGAGCAAGCATCTTTGTGATTGAGGAGCAAGAAAGGAAGGTAAGATTGGAGAAAATACTGATGAAGGGGCATTATCCTTATTTCATCTTGGTGTTAACAAAAGCCTTAACAAATCTGGAGTCTGCGTGCAAAACATATGCCAGCAAGTGTGTGGCTGTCCCATGCACACCTGCTGGTGCAGCTGGACGGGAAGGCAGGAGCTGATGGAGGTGCCAATGTATCCCCTGCATGGGTTTCCATCGCCATGGCCGTTGTCCTCAGCAGCAGCAGAGTGTGGCTGGGGGGAGGAAGCAGGGTACTGGCAAGGAGCAAAGCCCTGGGAATGGTGGTATGGTTTAACCCCAGTAGACAGCAAAGCACCACGCAGGTGCTTGCTCACTCCCCCACCCAGTGGGATGTGGGGGAGAATTAGAAGGGTAAAAGTGAGAGAACCTGTGGATTGAGAAAAAGACAGTGTAATAATAAAAAAAAAAAAAAAAAAACAACAAAAAAACAAACAAAGCAAAAAACAAAACAACAAAAAAACCCAACAAAAAACAACAAAGAGAGAGAGGCAAAGAACCCCCCAAGAGAGACAAGCGATGCCGAAGAAAACAGTTTCTCACCACCAACCAACCAAATGGTGCCCCAAGTGGCAGCAGCCCCCACCAACCTCCACCCCCCCCAGTTTTATTGTAGGAGCACAATGTCATACGGTACGGAATATCCCTTTGGTCAGTTGGGGTCAGCTGTCCTGACTGTGTCCCCTCCCAACTCCTTGTGCACCCCCAGCCTCCTCGCTGGTGGGGTATGTGAGAAAAAGCCCTTGACTCTGTGTAAGCACTGTTTAGCAATAGCTAAAACACCCCGGTGTTATCAACAGCGTTTTCATCACAAGTCCAAAACGTAGCTCCATATCAGCTACTATGAAGAAAATTATCCCAGCCAAACCCAGTACAAATGGCTAGGGATGCTGAACCACTGTGTTAGCTCCAGTCAGTCAGTGTTGCTGTGTTCAAGGAACACGCTTGAGTCTCCAGTGCTCCTGTTGTGTAGGAGAAAGAGTGAGTCGGTGCTTGCTCCGACATTGGTCCTGATCCTTCATCCAGGACTTGCATAAATCTCCACCCCCCCAAGCCGGTGAAATTTTTGGATGTATACATGCAGGGGAAGGGGAGCCAGTGTAATTAAAAGGAAAAAAAAAAAAATTCTGAGGGAGAACTAATTACTGCAGTCATTTAATTTTTTGTTTCTAGCTTTGTTAATGAGGAAGTGGAATTGGGAAACAGAGATACTGCATATGAAACACGTTGACAGTTTAAAAACTGTTAGCCACATCTAGTGAGACTGCTCAGTTTTTAGTAATAATAGCAAAGCCATTCCCAGAACAGCAGTTCTCTGGAGTGGTACTCTGGGGATGATGCTGCTATTTGTAACAATATTACTTCTCTTCTTTTCCTTCTTTTTTCCTCTCTCTTTTTTTTTTTTTTTTTTTTTTTTTTTTTTTAAGCCTAATCATTCCCTGTTTATTGTAATACTTGCTGTGTGTGATGAGAACAAGGGAGGTTTGCATATTTGGAGTGGCTCCTGCATGTCTCAACACCTCTTATCTGCCTCTCCCGAGGACCAGAGGAACAGGCAGCTGCCTTCTTCATCCCCCCTCGTGCAGATACTTCAGCAGCCACCAACTTTCACCCAGCCTCAAAGGCAGGCGAGGGGCAGATCGCTGATGACTCTTCATGCAATGAAAAACAGCTAACAAAGAAATGTGTGTAAATGACTATACTTTGCCAGGATTTTACACAATGTTCAGCACAATAGTTGATAACATCGGATGAAAGTAACACACTTGTAAAGGGAAACACATCACTTTGTAGCATTGACCTTTTTGCTATAACACAAGTTTTTGTAAGAACTTGGTTGAAGAAAACCATGTATTTGCTTCTCACCCTGAAACAAACAAAAATTAAGAGATAGAGGAGTTGGTAAACTCTTTTTCTTTTATCTTTATGCTTTGTTATCAAAATGTTATCTTATAATACTGTATGCACTTACATATTTTAATGCAGGCATCTTGGCCTGGATCCATTTGTAAACATTGCTTGGAAATGCCAATCTCACATTGAAGGCAATTGGGGTTTGAGATGTATAGGATCAAGCCCACTCAGCTGTTGTGTAGATTTGATGATTTACATGAGAACGCACATGCATTTGTTCATGTGTTCAACCACTCCCTTTTTTTCTACAAAAATAAATTGCTTCTTACGCACATATTTTATCTTCTCTCATAAATCTACAGCTGTTGAAATCCAGGCTGAATCCTAATGTGGTCCTTACTACCTCATTTTTTGCTCTGGAATGGAGATTGTGTTGTAAAGACAAATATATATGTAAGTGTCCACAGAAGAAGAAAATCCATTCTCTCACATTTACTTGCTACAACTGAATATTTACCCCAGAGGGTGCTGTACTGGACAGCTTCCATTATAAACGTGAACATTTAAATCTGCTCTACAATGGGTCAAGTGCAGCAATGGTATTAAGTCCAATTTGTCTATTAGACTTGGGAAGAAGGTGATTTCTTGTTTTTCTAGATGATTGTTTTGCTTTCAGTGTAAAAATATGCAGTGGCACAAATATCTCTTGAGCTGTGCTTTCTGCAGCAGATCTGCATTTGACTTAGTGTGCAAACACAATTTCCACAAATTTGGGACTGAAAGGGAAATCCCCTATTACTGCGTGCAGTCATTTGTTTGCAGATGAAAACAGGATATAGAATTTCTTTATCAAGCTCCAATTTACCCCAATTATGTTTGTTTGTTATTCCCCCCCCCCCCCCCCCCACCACCCCATTTTAATATTAGAGGGCTGTTCAGGGATCCGCTCTTCCAAGAGCTCAAAATGTTCTTCTAAATCCAGTCTTACATATTCAGGAACAATTTATACCCATTTGTTCTCATTTCAGCATTTTCCTTTAGCTTAAATAGCTCTTTCTTCTCCGTGTGTTTACCTCCCCCCAAAGTATTTATAGGCAGCAATCATAACCCTCATTGTTTATCACATCTCTATTTACTATTTTAATTAGAAATAACAGCCCTGATTTCTTCCTTTTTCTTTTCTTTATAAAATAAAAGATTGATTATCAGATATTTGATGCTGCCAATTTTCCTTCTTTTTTTTTTTTTTTTTGTGTGTTAATTTTAAATGGCATCAATTTATTTAACTTGCTGCTCATATGGAAAAAGAATGTTATGCCTAATTGGCTGCATTTTCGTAGCTACACAAAGGGGACATTGCATAAAGGCAAAGCAATTGGATTCACTGTCAAAACAAATTAGAAAGTATATTTTTGGTTCTTATTAGGGTAACAAAAATACTTGGTTCCTCTGCAAGCTGTATAATCATTTGACCTATTTATGACCTCAGGTGCACTTGGTTCACCTCCAAAGACCAAATGAAGTGATAACTGTAGCTAGTCAATAATCTAGGACTTAGCTGGCCCAGGAGACATTAGTATTAGTGTCCTATGGATGATGTCTAAATTAGATGGCAGTCAGGTATGTGTACACTAGAGTGGTCATTAGAGTGGGCAGATGTGCTCAACTAATGGCTTACAGTGGGGATTGCTGAAGGGGGAATTCCTTGAGAAAAAAGTGAGTTAACACAAGACAATAGGCTGTACAAAAGGGTGCATTTCTGTGAGCTGTGATGAATTTTCAGCATACAGACTTGTTACGATTCCTTGACAGACAA